TTTTGTGGCCAGCTTAACCTGCCCTGGGGATGGGCTGTTGTGGCATGTGGTGACGGGGATCAAACCACAGTCCCTGTGGTTGCCTAAGCTTACCTAAGCAGGTGCTTTAGACCACTGAACCATCTCGCTGGCCCCTAGTGTTATATGTTAACCCAAAAATGAATAATGAATTCTATCATGTGTATTTTCAGCACCTACTAGGACTATCACATGCTATTGGTGATTTCCTATCTAAATAAAATGGGATAAGCACATAACATAAGCAAGTGAAGTGGGCCATGAAGTAGGTAGGAGCCAGGCATGATGGTGCACGCCTATAATCCCAGTGCTCAGAAGGCTGAGGTGGGAGGATCACCTGAAGTTTGAGGCCAGCCTGGCTACACTGTACATTCAAGGACAGCCTGAACTCAACAGCCTGGTGAGACCCTGTTTCAGAAAAACAGAAACAAGAGTAGGTAAGAACCATGGCAAATTGAAGGCTGAAGCATCACCTTAGTTGGGCAGCAGCTACTCGGCGCTGACTTATATGCTGTAATATGAAAAGGTTGCCAGCTGTTTCATATTCAGAGATAAATTTTTATCAAAAGGTCTCAATTTTATCTCAGCCTCCCAGCATTCTGTGATTACAAAAGAAAACAAAGGGAGCTCCTGATCGCTCTTGCATGTTGTGTGACTGCAAAACACTAAATAGCCTTTTTGTCAACTTAAATACCCAGAAGACATAAAATTTACCTTAGAAGCTCTCATGCTAGTACTGTTACCTGAACTGTTCCTTTAATAAGTGAATAAATTCCTTTATTTCATTCATATGACTGAAGCTAGGAAGGTGTGCTCCAAGTGCTTGGCAGAATCTTTCAGCTTCTTCCCAGTTCCTCTTCCTCATAACTCTTTCTATATGAAATACCTTAAAAAAACAGAAAGTTGATTTATTTTCTGCAGTAATCACAAAGCATGGTTTAAAGTAAATGATAGTCAATTGCATGTGCCCTTAGAACCATTTTTTATAGGCATGATAAAGGTAACAGTAAAAGCACCTTTACACTTAGACACAGGTATGTCCTGCTCAAAGTGTCATGGAAAGCCAGCACAGGTGTCTCACAGTTGTCAGATGGATGGGATACTGTTCTGGTTGATCTACCAGGTCAATTGGAGTGGTTTAACAACTCAACTATGTAACTCAGAAGCTCTACATCCTAAGGTGTAAAGGACTTGCCCTAGGTGGCTGTTTAAACTCCAAGATGTTGTAATGGTTGATTCATTTTGTCAACTTGAGAAGTTCAGAAGTTTAAGTAACTGAGCAGGGAGCCAGGGTCCTCACTCTGTAAACACCCTTAGCTTTCCCAAGAGGACACGGAGATGGCATGAGTGCTATTCCAGCCCAGGGGCAGGCATCCTGCATACAGTATAAGGGGCGGGGGAGTGGCTTGGCTTCCTTTTTGTTCTGGTTGCTTTTGGTCTTCTATACCCATGAACTGTTGTCCCTCAGCCATGCCACCCTGCCTTGGAGCCAGATGAGAATGGACCGAAACCTCCATAAATTGTGAGCTAAATAAACCTTTTTCTCTTTAATTTGGGCATTGGGTATTTTGTCTCAGCAATAAGAAAAAAAGTAACTAAGACATATTCTGAAGCTAGATGGGGAAACGCTCCAGCAAGTCACCATATTTTCATGTATTTCTAAAACCTCTGAAGATGAAATGAACTCAAACAAAGGCTGTAAAGCTTACATATGAATGCTATGAGAGTAGACATCTTCAAAGAAATATGCTAACAATATAATTCTGAACATAAGATAGGGATAACTCCACAAAAATAGAACTATTTTTGGATGAAGAAAATCAAAGAGCAGTCTGCATTGGTGTATAACACTAACAGAAGGAGGAAAAATAAAAACTGCTACTTTAAGGTGTGTCTTTGGTTTGGGATGATTAATATTAGGCCAAAGGAACTACAGTTACTTCAAACAATAGGAGCAAAGGAAGGACAAGAAGGAGAAGATGGCTTAACAGTAGGGTGATTGTTGGTTCCAATTCTTCAGTTCCCTCTAAATCACATTCTCACTGTGGCCTTTTGGTAGGTGGAGTATACATTTCTGTATCTTAATGTAGGGCTTGACTTGGCTTGAAAATAGAAAAAGCAATGGAGGAAAGAGGAAATATATACTAGGATACTAGAGAGATAATTCCATTAAGTGGTTAATGAGAAAGATGATGTGATTGATTGGATATTAGTAGAAGTAGAAGTAAAAGTGAACAGATGCCTGTAATGTGGTTGAATTCACCTTCTACAACTTCTGGAAAGGATTTACTATGAGAAACACAAGCTGCCAGCAAGTGTGGTGGTGCATGCCTATGATCACAGAACTCTGGGAGGTGGCTGTGGCAGGCGGATTTCAAGTTAGAGCTCAGCCTGAGCAATTTAGCAATGTAGCTAGGTCCTGCCTCAAGCCAAAAAAACTGGGAATATAGTTCAGTGCAAAGGCCTTGTTTCAATGACCAGTACTTCATTAAAACAGAACAAGATGGGCCAAGGATTTAGCTTAGTCATTCAGTGCCTGCCTGGCAAGCGTGAGGTCCTGAGTTTGATTCCCAGTATATATCTATATCTATATCTATATCTATATCTATATCTATATCTATATCTATAT